AAGACATTAACGTATATACAACTACAGCGGCCGGACCTAAAGAGCCCAGCTACTTTTGCTGTTATGATAAATTAAGGGACACATATACTGGTAAGTTTTTTAATTTACTTATAATTTATTGACCAAAAAATATATGTAAATAATCATGTTGTTTCCCACAATAGGTTCATCATATAGTAATATATGGATTGAAAATACCGAGACAGCTGATACCCTAAAAGAAACTATGCAAGAACAGTACGAATATATTAAAAATAAATCATACAAGACAGTTATATCAGGTGAAATATATTACGAGCACACGCAACAGTATGGCGATTTGACAATTGGCAAGTTACCTGTGTCCGAGTTTTTGGGTATGTTGTTTAAATAGAGCTTTTAATTAACCAGTTTGATTAATTAATTATTTAATGTGTATAGGCGCAAAAAAATCAATCAACCAAATGAATGATGGTAAAATTGCTACATTTGATAATAGTTGCGAAGTGGTTAGTAAACGTGAGGCTGCCGTTCATTTGCTTCAAAAGAAAATTGATAGAACTTCGGACAACAACGAGAAATTAGGGTATAATTTATTTGATAATTATATTTTTGTTTTCTTAATTATTAATTAAGGTAATTATTGTTTTACAGATATGTAAATGAGTTATCGCGTTTGTTAAGCGGTAGACAATCTGTTGACAAACATATGTCTGATTACGTGAATAGTATTCAACACTTACTGACAATCGATAGCAATGCTATACTAAACGAAAAACTAGATCTCAATGATAGACAATGTTATCGAAAATTTGTTAAAACTTATAAAAATAATTGTTTTAATCTTAATGAGGTACTTAAAATTTTATAAAATATACAATTTTGCAAAATTTATTCATTTATAATTTTTTACAGAATCCATACGTTTTGGGAAAATTGCAAACATTTGTGAATATTTGTGAAACAATGCGTGAATCGAGTGATGCGGACATCGCTGTCAACCAATTGATACAACACTGCAGTCAATACACTAGCAATCAATTCGGATATGTTTTATAAATATAATATTTTATGTAATTATTTGAAAATTATAAAATTAAAATAATAATTATAATCAAATAAATTACTTAAACATGCACACAAATAAATAAAAAAATTAGTATACACCAAATTGCAATAAAAACAAAATTTGTATTAATAATTATTAACAATTCTCATAATTGTTCTAGTTACCATATTATACATTTTCTGAGGCTGGCAATAACCTTTAGAATATACTAGATAAATAAGTACTTTAATTTACCTAAGAACATTTAAGTTAATCCTACATTTTTAAATTCTAAGAACTTATATTATTATTATTTAAACTTTATATTAAATACTTAAAAATTATAATAAATATTGCTACTAAATAATTGGCATATAGTTGATTACAGAATTATTTATTTGGAATTGTTGATGATTATACTTTTATTTAAGTTTTATTAAACTTATGGGAAAATAAAAGAGCTGTTCATTTTTATAAATATTTCGTAGTTATTATATTTAGTGAATGTAATATTAAATTTAATATTGTCAATAAATTGCATATAAAATATTCAATATTTGAACATTATTTCATGGGACAGAGCAACTAGATTTATTGTTATTTAATAAAATATAAATGTGCTTATTATCGGTTAAGGTTAATAAATTATCGGTTAAGGTGGTATAGTCTTTATAATAATAGCAGATAAATAAAATAACACTTCCAAGAAGTATTAGAAATATAGATTTAACTTTTATATTTGATTACATTAATCTCGATATGAATTAGACCCCACATACAAAATATTTCAAGGTATATAAACGGCCAAATATGCAGCATTGTCATTTATATAAAGTTATAATTCAATAAACTAATAATGAGAAGTATAATTATTTTAGCTGTTAGTTTGATGTTGGTGAATGCGGTGCCATTTGGCCAGCAGTTCTCCCAATTCATTAGCAATGATGAGCCCACTGGAAAAGTGTGGGTCGTTTTATGCGCCGCCGCTAATGGATGGTACAATTTTGGAATTCAGGTAAACTTAATTAGTTGATTTAAGCTAGCTAATTAATATCACTTTTTATTACTTTCTGAGCACTTATAATAAATTATTTCTGGCACTTATATTTAGGCCGATGTCTACCACTCGTACCAATTGGTGAAAGAACACGGTATACCTGATGAGCAAATCATAGTGTTCCACTACGACGATCTGGCTACTCATAAAAGCAATCCGACCCCGGGCAAAATCATCAATGAGCCCAATGGTACTAATGTTTACGAAGGAGTGCCCAAACACTATACTGGAAAAGATGTTACACCCGAGGTATAAGCTAACAATGATTGAATATACATTTATTTCATTATGATCATTTTGAATGTTAATATTTATAATTATTTTAAAAATATTTTAGAACTTTTTGGGTGCATTGAAAGGCAGCAATGAATTGGCTAACGCAGGCAAAAAGGTGGTCAAAAGTGGACCCAACGATCGCATATTTGTCTACTTAATGGATCATGGAGCACCAGGTAAGATTGTTTTATAAAATAATAAAACTTTAGTTTATTAAAAAAAATGATTATCACAAACTTTAGGTCTGGTGGCTTTTCCAAATAGTGTGCTACATGCCACAGATTTAAACAAGGCCCTAGTTGAGATGCATCAAAATAAAAAGTATTCCCAGTTGGTATTTTATTTAGAAGCATGCGAATCAGGTAAATAAATATAAATACAACATACTAAATAAAATATAACAGTCTTAAAAATATTTTGCAATTACAATTTAATCAGGCTCAATGTTTTATAAACTACTGCCGGACAATATTAATGCATATGCCGTTACTGCTACTAAACCTGATCAGGATGGTTATTTCTATTACGATGATGATACCTATGACACATGTCTAGGTAGGTGTACAATTAATTTATTGTCAGATTATTTTGTAAAATCAATAAAGTTAATTAATTGTTTAAAATGTACCTAGGCACATATTTCGCCGCCATGTGGTTCGATGATTGGCGCCATAATGATCCGAAGGTTGAGACATTTGACCAAGAGTTCGCATATTTCACCAAGCACAGTAATTTTACTTTTGAATTTGACCACACAATATACAATTGCACGCAGAACGCCCAACATTATGGTGATTTATCGCTGGCTAAATTGACATTGGCACAATTTTTAGGTATAACATTATCGTGAAATTTTGTTTACAGGGTTTGTAAAGAAGTTGTCTTAACTTCAACAAAAGTGGCCAGATTTAAATTTAATTTTTATCATGATGAAAGCATATAAGGCAAAGATGAAATATATACAAATTATTATCCTAGGCCAAATTTTTAAAATTTCAATATTTGTTTTTAAAATTTTTTTATCCCTCAAATATGTTCTTCATATGTTCTACTTTCCATTTATATGAAAATTCACTTATTGTCAAAAAATTTGGTATTACCATTGAAGACTCAAGAGTTTCTCTTCAGATTCATTTGTAGACTAAGCAAAGCTTCAAAATTAACCTTATTATATATTGAGTTTCGGATGGTAAAATAGTCAAATAACTGTTTAAAACTTTTAATGATGGTTTTTCATCAATTATTAATTAGTCATGATAATATATAATTGAATTTCTAATTGTTATTTAAACACTTGTTCAGGCTGTGAAAGAATTTTTTAATTATCTTAAATACTTTTCGAGATAATCACATCCGTAATTTGAGGATGAAATATGATCCTGTTCAAAAATGTTTCGAGTTAAAAAATTAATTTTTTCACATTTTGTTATTGATTCACTGGCAGAATGTTTTGCAATCATTCTCGGTTGAATTCTTTTATATCGAATTGAAACTAAGACAACCTCTTTGTTTATACATTTTAAACAGGATCCAAAAAGTTACCTCAAAGTACATCAAATTCAGTGCTAATGAATAAAAACATCAAATACATAAAGAGTAGGGAAGCGGCCGTTCATTTATTGCAACAGAAAATTAATCGTTCCAATGGTGTGAGCGAGAAATTACGGTAATTATATCTATTTTGTAAAAATATTAATTGTTTTTTAAAATAATTTATATTTTTAGATACACTGAAGAATTGGAGACTCTATTGAATGGCAGACAATCTGTTGACAAACATATGACTGAATACGTGAATAGTATTCAACACTTACTGACAGTCGATAGCAATGCTATTCTAAACACTAAACAAGAGCTCAATAATAGACAGTGTTATCGAAAACTTGTCGACACATATGCCGAACAATGTCTTGATTTGGGCCAGGTACTTAATTTTTTAACTAAATTATAATTTAATTAAACTTAACATTTGTTTTTTCCCATAGAATTCCTATGGTTTACAAAAATTGCAAACACTTGTGAATATTTGTGAAACAATGCGTGAATCGAGTGATGCGGACATCGCTGTCAACCAATTGAGACAACACTGCAGTCAATACAATATCTATGACTTTAAAAATATATTATAAATATTAAATGTTTTATAATATTAAAATCGTAACAAAATTTAATTATAATTTATAATTGTAATTAATACAATAAATATAATCTAATAAAATTAATAGTATCGCTATAATGATTTCATGTTACTTATGGGAAACAAAACAGTATTAATTATTTCTAGAATTAGTACTAGAAATTGATAAAATTCAATTATTATAATCATCAAAACGTAATTTTAATGCCAATAATTTTTCAAATTTAAAATTAGTCATATGAAAATTACATAAGTATAAGTATAAATATAATTATTCATTACAAGATAAATAATTTTAAATTAAAATATATTTTTTTTAGTTAAATCATTTTGTAAATATTATAATTAATATTATTAATATATCTAAAATAAAACTCAACAAAAATATATTTTTATATAATAATTATTAATTAGTACAATTTTAAAAATTATTCTAATCTATTTATAAATTTATTAAATTGATAAATAGTTTAAACGGCATTTAAAAGAACTTACTTGTACAACTTACTTGTATAATAATTGATATATAAGTACAATATTATGGATTATACAGTGTACTTATTGTACAATATAAATTATGAGTCATTCTTATTATCGGTATAAAAAATACATTAGGATAATTTAATATTTCATCCAGAATTGAAATAACAAGTTTAAACAAATTTAAAGAATCATAAAGGTATAAAAGTTCTTGTTAAACTACTTATTCTGACAAAATATTAAAGCACGTCGCCCAACTTTTAAATTAATAGTATATTTTAAAAATGAATAAATATTTAGTATTAGCAACATTATTTATATCAGTTGCTTCTATTCCATTTACTAGGCAATTTGAGCATGGTTTTAACGGCAAACAATGGGTTGTGCTAGCTGCGTCCGGTAATGATTGGGGCAATTATGGTGATCAGGTAATCTCTCTCTCTCTCTCTCTCTCTCTCTCTCTCTCTCTCTCACACACACACACACACTCACTCACTCACTCTCACTCTCACTCTCTCACTCACATGCTATACCCTAAACAGGCGGACGTATACCACGCCTATCAAGTGGTGCGGGCGAACGGTATACCCGACGAAAACATAATACTCATGTATTACGACGACATCGCATACCATAAGCGAAACCCCACTCCAGGTGTAGTCGTGAACAGACCCGACGGCTCCGACGTATATAAAGGTGTGCCCAAAGACCGAGCCGTAACCGGCGATGACATTACACCCGAGGTATACTGTGAAGAGAGCTGTAAACTAAATAATTTTGCTAATGTTATGTTTAATGTTATTTAAAATAATATTTGTAAAATAAACTTTTTTATAGAGATTTTTAGCAGTGCTTAAGGGAGATAAAGAAATGGCAGGAAATGATTCTCTAGTGTTCGATAGCGGGCCCGATGATCACGTATTTGTTTATTTAATTGACCATGGTGCACCTGGTAAGTGATATCAAGCAGAATTTTAATTATCATTGAAATTATAATTAACTTATGATAATAGATCTGGTGAATTTTGTCAATGATAAAATACTTTACGCAGAGGACCTAATTGCAGTATTAAAAAATCAGGATAAAAAATTTGCTAAACTAGTGTTTTATTTAGAATCTTGCGAATCGGGTATGTTTTTACATTCAGCTCATATGTTTAATCAACCCGACTTACTGCTAGCCCTCTTCTGATTATTTTTCCCTTAATGATTTTATTTTGTTAATATTTATTGTGCCAGGCTCAATGTTTGACAAACTGCTACCCAATGACATTAACGTATACGTGACTACGGCATCGGCACCCGATGAGGAAAGCAACTTTTGTTGCTACGATAAATTTCGGCATGCTGATACTGGTAATTGTTTTTTTGTTGCTAAATTAACTTAATGCTAAATAATCTATTTTCACCTTAATGTTCAATAAATAGGCTCAGCATATAGTAATGCATGGATTGAAAATACCGAGACCGTTGATACTCTATAAGAAACTCTACAGGAACAGTTTAAATATGTTAAAAATAGATCGTACAAAACAAAAACAGGCAGTGGTTATCGTTACGAACATACACAACAATATGGTGATTTATCCATCGCTAAACTACCTGTGTCATAGTTTTTAGGTATTTAATTTTGCGTTGAATTTAATTTTACAATATATGCAAATATTTATCAAATTTATATAGGTCACAAAAAGTCAATTAAACAATTGAATGTTGGTAAAATAGCTAGATTTGATAACAACTGCGAGGGTGTTAATAAACGCAATGTTGCTATTGATTTACTCGAGAAACAAATTGATAATTCTGTGGACAACAACGAGAAATTAGGGTATAACTGATTTAATATATTTTGTTGTTATATAATAAAAATAATTTGAGTGATTATTTTATTTGCATAGATATGTGACTGAATTATCACGTTTGCTAAGCGGTAGACAATATGTGGACAAACATATGACTGATTACGTGAATAGTATTCAACACTTACTGACAGTCGATAGCAATGCTATTCTAAACACTAAACAAGAGCTCAATAATAGACAGTGTTATCGAAAATTTGTCGACACGTATAAAGAGAATTGTTTTAGTTTTTCTGAGGTATTTAATTATAAATTAATTTATTAAATATAAACTATTACTAAACATTTGTTTATTTGCAATTTTTACAGAATCCATACGTTTTGGGAAAATTGCAAACATTTGTGAATATTTGTGAAACAATGCGTGAATCGAGTGATGCGGACATCGCTGTCAACCAATTGATACAACACTGCAGTCAATACACTAACAATCAATTTACTAATATATTATAAACATATTTTGCGGTTATAGATATTTGATTAATAAAATAATATTTATGAATAACTTATAAAATTAAATTTGAATACATTTAATAAGCTAAGTATATTGTATGCTATTAAGATTATATGTTCTTAGTACAGTGCAACCCCTCCATAGCGAACGGCCAAATGCATGACTAAATCGTTCGTTATAGAGAGGGTTCGCCCAAGAGGGTATAATTTAAAATGTTAATAAAATCATTTATTATATAAGAATTTAATGTAATAATATGAAAAAATACACTTTTGAGATGATATTTGTTTTTAATGACAGTATAATCAATACCCTTTTCAATGTCCCGTAAAATATCGTATTTCGTTTTTAAATCAATTGATTGTCTTTTATTTATTTGAGACATTATTATTAATTACACAATTAATAACACAAAACAATGCTTTCCACACTTATTTCATATAAACAACAATACATATAATATGTTTTATAAATGAAACCAATCATTATAATGTTTCAAAACAATTTTATTTGGAGTACAGTCTCATAACGTTCGCTCACAAGAGAGTTGAGTACTTTTAAATGTTAGAAATCCGTTCGCTATAGAGAGGTATTCGTTATGGAGGGGTTCGCTGTAGAGGGTTTTGGTCAATAAATTATAAGTAAATTAAAAAACTTACCAGTATATGTGTCCCTTAATTTATCATAACAGCAAAAGTAGCTGGGCTCTTTAGGTCCGGCCGCTGTAGTTGTATATACGTTAATGTCTTTAGGCAGAAGTTTTTCGAAAATAGAGCCTGATAATTTAATAAAAATAGATCAATTTAATTCAAATACACAAAATCATTAAAGTTTTAATAATAAAATAGATTATTAAAATCCTACCTGATTCACAAGTCTCGAGATAAAACACTAGCTTGGCAAACTTTTTGTCCACGTGCATTTGTTTTAGTGTGCCCACCAAGTCCTCAGCGTACATCTCATCACGTGGGAACATTATCAGACCTATCATTATAAATAATAAATTTTAATAATACTATTTTTTT